GCCATCACAGTTTCCTGGTTACTGTGTAATATCCAACCTTGTTTTAACCTGAATTGACTCTCCCTTAGCTGAGAGAGCCAGACAGATTCCATCTTGGCTCCTTCACTTACGGCCCCTTGTCCACCCCCTTCCTCAAAGACTTAACTTGTGCAAGCAGACTCCCAGCACATCCAAGGTTGCAATTAACTAATAAGATACTGTAGCAAGCTATATCTGCAGTTCCTAGGAATTCACCCAGTTGATAGCACCCAAAGTCCCTGCGTCTGTCACCTTGTAATGGATTTAAAGCCCCTTCACCTGGAACTGTTTGCTTTGCTGTAACCATTTATCCTTTTAACTTTTGCCTTGCTTTACTTCTGTAAGATTGTTTTAACTAGACTCCCCCTGCTCTCCTTTCTAAACCAAAGTATAAAAGAAAATCTAACCCCTTCTTCAGGGCCGAGAGAATTTTAAGCACTAGCCATCTCTCCGCTGCCAGCTAATAAAGGATTCCTGGATTCATCTCAGCGTGTGGTGTTTTTCTGTAACTCACTCAGTTACAACAGCTGTCTTATGTTCATTCAAGGCACTGTGGCTCTGCAATCAGCAGATGAAAAAGTCAGCCAGGCCTCGATTACTGCCTTCAGTTTAGCAAGTTTCTTTATGCCCTAGATTGGTTCAGAGGTGCTATACAGGAGTCAGGGACTAAAATAAAAAACTTCAGAAAGCTAAGGTTTTGGCAATGAGAATTTGGCAGAAGAGTGTGGAATAGATCTTTAAAATGGCAAAAGTTTCTAAAAAAAATTGAAACCTGATGCGAAAAACAATAGAGAAATATACAAAAAATAAATTATGTTCATGCTCATTTTATTTATTTATTTATTTTTGAGACAGGATCTTGCTTTATCACCCTGGCTGGAGTGCAGTGGCCTGAACTCTGTTTACTGCAAGCTCTGCCTTCCGGGTTCAAGTGATTATGCCATCACAGCCTCCCTAGTAGTTAGGAATACAGCCTCGTGAAATGATATCTGGCTAATTTTTTGTATTTTTAGTAGAGACGGGGTTTCGCCATGTTGGCCAGGCTGGTCTTCAACTCTTGGCCTCAAGTGGTCTGCCCACCTTGGCTGGCCTCCCAAAGTACTGAGATGACAGGCATGAGCCACCGTGCCCAGCCCAGTTTAATTGTTATTCAATTACACCAGCCCTCATTTTGGAAAAAAGGCTAGGTGCAGGGATTAATAACTAGTGCTTTGACTTTACTTGTAAAATGTATTTTCTTTTTTTTCTTGTGGGCACCAGTAAATTAAATACTAATAAAAATACAATACAGGCCGAGCGCGGTGGCTCATGCTTGTAATCCCAGCACTGTGGGAGACTGAGGTAGGTGGATCACAAGGTCATGAGTTCGAGACCAGCCTGGCCAACATAGTGAAACTCCATCTCCACTAAAAATACAAAAAAAAAAAAAAAAAAAAAAGCCAGGCATGGTGGTGGCTGCCTGTAATCCTAGCTACTTGGGAGGCTGAGGCAGGAGAATCGCTTCAAACTGGGAGGCGGCAGAGGTAGCAGTGAGCCAAGATCATGCCACTGTACTCCAGTCCTGGTGACAGTGCGAGACTCCATCTCAAAAAAAAAAAAATATATATAATATATATACTATATATAATATATATAAAAAATACATTCGTACAGCCAACAGACACATGAAAAAATGCTCATCATCACTCACCATCAGAGAACTGCAGATCAAAACCACAGTGAGATACCATCTCACACCAGTTAGAATGGATTAAAAAGTCCGGAAACAACAGGTGCTGGAGAGGATGTGGAGAAATAGGAACACTTTTACACTGTTGGTGGGACTGTAAACTGGTTCAACCATTGTGGAAAACAGTAAATCATGCTGCTATACAGACACATGCACACGTATGTTTATTGCGGCACTATTCACAATAGCAAAGACTTGGAATCAACCCAAATGTCCATCAGTGACAGACTGGGTTAAGAAAATGTGGCACATATACACCATGGAATACTATGCAGCCATAAAAAAGGATGAGTTCATGTCCTTTGCAGGGACATAGATGCAGCTGGAAACCATCATTTTCAGCAAACTATCGCAGGAACAGAAACCAAACACCGCATGTTCTCACTCATAGGTGGGAATTGAACAATGAGATCACTTGGACACAGGAAGGGGAACATCACACACCGGGCCTATTGTAGGGAGGGGCAGAGGCAGGAGGGATAACATTAGGAGATATACCTAATGTAAATGACGAGTTAATGGGTGCAGCACACCAACATGGCGCGTGTATACATATGTAACAAACCTGCACTTTGTGCACATGTACCCTAGAACTTAAAGTATAATAAAAGAAAAAGTAAAATAAATAAAATACATGTTTTCAGTCATGTAATGTATATGTGTGTATTATCTTTTTATATGGTATATATTATGTGTATATTATTTATAATATATAAAATATACATTATATATAGAAACAGACAAAATATACATTACAAACACACTCATTCACACACATGTGCCATGTGGTCTAAGATATTGCAGTGTGGCAACATGTACACATTTCACAAGTTTACGTCTTTGAGTTATTCCGGAAGACTGTTATCACCTCTGGCAAGGAAGTTTCATTAGGAGGTTAATGGGTTCTAATATACATGAAATGGTTGACTACTGCCTTGTTTGTTACCCGGAGGCCCTAAGCAATCAGGAAGACAGGAAGAAAATTTCTGCTCTTGGTAACGTTTGCAGTGCATTTCATAAGTGTCATTAATGTCACAGGGTGAGATTGAAAAGCTTCTGGGGATATATGGAAAATTAATGGGGGGCATTAGAACAGTAAAATAGCATGAGGTTGTGTGTGTGTGTGTGTGTGTGTGTGTGTGTTAAATAATGTATGGAGATTGTGAGTAGATGCCCAAGTGGTGAATAAGAGAGAAACAGTATGTCTGTGGACTGGAGAAAGGACTGTGGAGGGAAGGGCTGCAGTGTAGACTGAAGAAACTGTTTTAATGAAAATCTGTCAGACAGTAGAGGTACAGGCAGCACTGCTTAAATCCCAAGGGAAAAAGTAGTATGTATTTTTGTGTAGAACCTGTTTCTAATACCTGAAGCACCTTCACCTACTTCCAGGTGAGCACCAACAATGGCCCCAATTCATCTTCAAGTGGATTATTATCAAAATACATCATTATGATACTAACAGGTCATGGCAGGTGTTATCAATTGTGTCCCCACAAAAATTCATATTTTAAAACCCTAACCCTTCATTCCTCAGAATGTGACTATACTTGGAGATAGGGCCCTTCAGTGGGTGATTAAGTTAAAAGGAGACTGCTAGAGTGGCCCTAATCTAATCTGACCGGTCCCCTTAAAAGAAGAGGGAATATAGACTTACTGAGACACCAGGGATGTGCATATGCAGAGGAAAGACCATGTGAGGTCACAGCAAGAGGGCAGCCATCTGCAAAGAAAAAAGGAGAGCTTCATAAGCGTGTTAGTCATTGTCGCAGTGCTATAAAGAAATACCCAAGACTGGTAATTTATAAAGGAAAGAGGTTTAATCGACTCACATGAGGAGGCCTCAGGAAACTTAGAATCATGGCAGAAGGGGAAGCAGGCACCTTTTTCACAAGTGGCAGGAGCCAGAAGTGTGAAGTGTGAGCACAGGAAAACTCACTTTTAAAACCATCAGATTGTATGAGACTCACTCACTATCGCAAGAACAGTATGGGAGAAACAGCCCCCATAATGCAACCACCTCTCACCAGGTTCCTCCCTAGACACATGAGGATTACAATTCAAGATGAGATTTGGGTAGGGACATAGAACCAAACCATGTCAATAAGAAACCAAGCCTGCTGACACCTTGACTTGGACTTCTGGCCTCTAGAATTGTGGGAAAATAAATTTTTGCTGCTTAAGCCACCTAGTTTGTGGTATTTTGTTATGGCAGCTCAAGCAAACTAATTCAATGGGCAATCAAAATACAAAGGCTGTGACTGCGGTTGGCAGAGTGTTAGAAACACATAAATCCTTGGGGTATTCAGACACAAGTGAGAGAGAGCTCAGCACTAGAATTTACTGGACTGAACACGGGAATTAGAGAATGCTAAGAACATTTAGATTATGATTTTGAATGTGATCATTTGTAAATCGAGGTAACAGATAACACACATTGAACTCAGGGAATTCACTTAACATAGGAGTTAAGAATATGGACCCAGACGTCTTAGTTTTGAATTCTGGTCCTGTGCATGATTCTGGATAAGTTGCTTGGCCTCTGTCTCTTGGCTTCTGCATCTGTGGAGATAATATGGCTAACTGCATATGGTTTTCATAAGGATTAAATAAATTAATATGTATAAAGCATTTAAACAGTTCCAGGAACACAGTGATATACATAAGAGTTAGCTATCATTTTATTATTGTCATTATGAACAGACACTACTCAAAATACTTTATTAGAAACAATTTTCACAAAAATTACTTGGGCAACTGAGATATGGTGAGATAACTTAACTTACTCAAGATCACACCATTAATAAGTAATGGAACCAGTATTTCACCCATAGGTTATTTATTGTACTCCATAGAAACAAAGCCATTATTTACAAATGACTAAAAATGATGCCAAGTAGATGATTATATAAGTGTATATGTTTACTAGGTTCACATTAATGCAAGTGATTTCTCCAAATGAAAATTTACAAATAAAATAATGTGTTCATTATTTACCTTAGCAGTAAAATAAATTTTCTGTTGAAAACAGTGAAGTATTCACTAAACTTGCCTATTTTTCAAAAGACATTCATTATTAGTAAATAGTCAATGATAAGTATTAAATGAGGAAGCAGAAAAAGTAGACAGAAATAAACAACTTTCAGAATGTATTTGGAATGCTTAACTGTATGCATTTTTTATTTTCTTTATTTTTGATTCTCAATTTTTTTTTAAGAAATAGAAATACTTGAATCTCAAATTGAACAGTGCATTATTAAAGAAAGACTGATTGCATTGTTTTGTTTACAAGTCCGTTAATTCATAAACAAGTGCATTTGATAGAAGAAGGCATCTTATGTTTTCTTTGGTGTGCACGCGTTTGGATAAAGAAACACTTCCTCTTTTTCTTTAAGTACAATATTATACCTGCAAAGAGGTGGTCTGAGAAAGAGAAAAAGGGAAAGAACAAAAAAATAACTATTAGTAAAACAAGAGAGTTGATGTCCTTCTCTCATAAATATTAGAATAGTCCATGCCTGTAACTAGCTAGTTCTCTAAATGTAGGGAGTTGGAACAAATCTATGGGATAATTTCCATTCTATCTCATTTGGCTGCGTAGGGATGAAATAGACATAATGCTTATAAGAAAGAAAAAAATCTGTTTCAACTTCTTTTCTCACTGCCTTATTGGAAAACTTAATTGTATGAGAAAACTTAATTGTATGAGAGGTACAGTTAGATACTGATGCAGTTGAAACTTGAACTCAACTCAGTATCCAGGCCATTACTTCCATCATGATGGTCACCAGAAGAGAGTCAGAGTGAATCGCATAGACAAAGTTTGCCCAAGCAACTTAATCATTCCTCTTATGCCACCTACTAAAATGGAAATAATAAGTCCTAAAGTATTCTATATCTTTGACAGATTTTATATTTAATATTTCAAGCTTTCCAAGAATCCAAGTCACTGCAGCACTGTTCACATATTTATAATAAAATAGTAAGACAAGTGTGTTTTCTTTTTTCTACAATTGACTAAAAACTCATGACCTTATTAGCATAGCATTGAATTATCTTCTATTCATACATATATAATAAATACATATTTTTTGAAATATTCTATATTTTACAAAGCCTCTACAAGCTTTGGAAAACAGCTTAGGCAGGTACACAAGGCCTATCAATGTTAAATTTTACCAAAACCTTTGAGAAAAAATAATTTGCTGTCCTTTTACATTGTAAAAGTTCATCTAGTGTCACTATCATGAATTTTGATACATTTTTTATCTTATGTTTAATAGTTCCTTCTCCCAGGCAATAAAAATAAAAACACTATAATTTTGTGATATATTTTGAATTACCAAGGGAAAATAATATTATATATTTATCTTTCTAATTTCAAAATGCATGTTGAATTTGTACTTCTAATGCTTTGCTTACCACACATTACCAAAAATGAGCACATTACATTGATAAAGTATAAGATTGATCTAAAATAATAAAAAAGAAATCAAGTAATAAAATTTTTTTAAAATTCAAATACAATCTAGTTTTCTATTTTAACCCACATATATTATATCAAAGTACAAAAAATATATAAGCTTCTTTACTTCAAAAATCTCCTTAAGGCTTTTGCTCAACCTATCACCACATCTATCCATTTAGTATTCTCTTTTTTTGCCATTAACATAGAGGCCCCTAAATTTGACTTCATTTTTTTATTTATTTGCTTGTTTTAAATTCATAAAATTGTATGTATTCATTGTGTACATGGTGTTTTGAAGAATAAATACATTGTGGAATGGTTAAATATAGTTAATTAAAATACACATTTCTTAATATAGTTATTTTGCAGCAAGAGCATTCAACACCTACTCTGCATTTTTCAGGAATATAATGTTTTGTTATTAACTATGGTCACCATGCTGCACAATAAATCTCTTGAACTCATTCCTTCTATCTAACTGTAATTTTCTATCCTTTGACCAACATCTCCTTAACACCTTCCCCTCCCAACTGCCCAGCCTCTGGTAACCATGATTCTACTCTCTGCTTCTATGAGATCAACTTTTTCAGATTCCACATGTGAGTGAAATCCTACAGTCTTTGTCTTTCTGTGCCTGACTTATTATACTTAACATGATGTCCTTCAGGTTCATTCATGTTGTTGCCAATGATGGGATTTCCTTCTTTATTATGTCTGAATAGTATTCCAATTTATAGCTCTCTATCATCTATCTGTCTCTATATAGGTGATATATATATACACACACATATATACTATATTTTTTTTACTGCTTCATCCACTATTGAAATCTTAGGTTTATTTTTTATCTTGGTTATAGTGACTAATGCTGTAATAAACATGGAAGTGCAGATATCTCTTCAACATACTGATTTAATTTCCTTTGATATATACCCAGCAGTGGAATTGCTGAATCATATATTTATTCTATTTTTAATGTTTTTAGGAACTTTCAAACTGTTTTTCCTAACAACTATACTAATTTACTTTCTCATCAGTAGTTATCAACCATTCCTTTTTTCCATGTTCTCACCAACATTTATTATAACTTTTGTCTTTATGGTAATAGCCATTCTTACAGTAGTGAGGTGATACCTCTTTGTGGTTTTAATTTGCATTTCCCTCATGGTTAGTGACATTGAACACTTTTTCATATACCTGTTGGCCAATTGTATGTCTTCTTTTGAAAAATGTCTTTTCAGATCCTTTGCCCAATTTTTAATTAGGTTATTTGTTTTCTTGATATTGAGTTGTTTGAGTTCCTTATATATCTTGGAGATTCATCTCTTATCATATATATACTTTGCAAATAATTTCTCCCATTCTGTAGATTGTCTCTTATCTCTGTTAATTATTTCCTTTGATGAGCATAAGCTTTTTAGTTTAATGTAATCCCATTTGTCTATCTTTGCATTTGTTGCCTGTGCTTTTGAGGTCATATCCAAAATATCATTGTCCAGACTGATATCAAGAAGATTTTCCCTATATTTTCTTCTAGCAAGTTTATAGTTTCAAGTCTTAGATTTTAGTCTTTAGTACATTTGGAGTTGATTTTTTTTTTTTTTTTGTATAAGGTATGACATAAAGGTCTAATTTTATTCTTTTGAAAGTGGATATACAGTTTTTCCAACACCATTTATTTTTATTTTGTTTTTTTAAAGTAGTAGATTCAGGGGGTACATGTGCAGGTTTGCTACAAGAATATATTGTGTAATGATGAAGTTTAGGCTTCCTGTGTACCCAATCACCTAAATAGTGAATGTTGTACTCAGTAGGTAATTTTTAAATCTACATCCTTCTCCCACTGTAATCTCTTTTAGAATCCCAGTATTGATTATTTCCCCCTGTATTTCCATGTGTACCCACTCCAACACTATTTATTGAAGAGACTGTCCTTTCTCCACTGTGTGCTCTTGGAACCTTTGTTGAAAATTAATTTTTAAATGGGTGAATTTATTTCTAGGCTCTCTATTCTGTTCCATTGGTCCACATCTCTGTTTTTATGCTAGTATTATACTACTTTGGTTACTATAGCTTTCTAATATATTTTGAAGTTATTTGGTGTGATGTCTCTAGCTTTGTTCTTTTTGCTCAAGATTGCTTTAGCTATTTAAAGTATTTTGTGGTTTCATGGAAATTTTAAGATTTTTTTTCTATTTCACTGAAGAATTTCAATGGTATTTTGATGGAGATTTCATTAAATCTGTAGATCCCTTTGGTTATTATGGACATTTTTAACAATATTAACCCCTCCAAGCTACAAACATGGGATATCTTTCATTTATTTGTGTCTTCTTCAATTTATTTCATCACTGTTTTACAGTTTTCTGTGTAAGAACTGTTAACCTTTTTGGTTAAATTTATTCCTAGGTATCTTATCATCGTACAGCTATTGTAAATATATTTGTGTTCTTGATTTATTTTTCAGATACTTTGCTATATTGCATTTTCAAAGCTATCTTTGAGAATGTTATATTAGTATTTATACATATTCATGTACTTTCTTTTTAAAAATCGAATCATACTCTTATAAAACATCATGCTTTTCTCACCAGGCAATATCTTATGAATCTTTTCATGAATATAAAGAAACATTTAAATATATAAAAAAGAAAAATTAATTCTTGTATATTGATTTTGTATTCTGCAACGTAACTTATTCCTAATATTCTTTTAAAATATTACTTGGATAAGGTTTCTAGCAATAACCAGGGAAAGGAATAGTGCCTGTTTCCACCTGCCATGTGAGAAAACCCAATTCATAGTTCACTGGATAAGGCACCCAGAAGGGTCTTCTCTAAGTAGTGGGAATCATTACACCTAGACTGAGCACTTATCCAAGTTAGCTTAATAAATTTTGAAAGCAAGACCTGAAAGGTGTAACCCCAGTAACATTTTGTAGGAATACAAAATATAGAACATTCAATAAGATACATTCACAGCATCTATGATGTAATTGAGAATTACTAAGCATTGCAAAGCTGGAAAATGGACCCATATAAGGTGAAAAATCAACCAATTGAAACCAACCCAGAACTAGCTCAAATGTGAGACTCAGCAGATAAATGCATTAAAACAGTTATTATACCTTTACTTCAGATGTGGAGACATGAGAGATACGAAGAGGTGAGAACTATGATGTTTGAGATGAATAATACACTTACGAGATTAAAAGCAGATTAGATATTGCAGAAATAAATCAGTGAACTTAATAACATAGCAACAGAAACTATTCAAAATAAAATGCAAAGAGAAAATAGAATTTTAAAATTAACAAAGCTATCATCACACTGTTGTACTATCAAATATTAGATATTACTTCAAGTAGCCAAAAATACTTAAAATTGGAATCCTCAAAAGGAGAAGTTGTAGAGGAACACAGAAAAAAACTAAAAAAAATGGCTGGAAATTTAGATGAAACTTGATGAAAACTATAAACCCACTGTATTATTCTGTTCTCACACTGCTATACAGAACTGCCCAAGACTGGGTAATTTATAAAGGAAGAGGTGTAATTGACTCACAGTTCAGCATGGCTTGGGAGGCCTCAGGAAATTTACAATCATGGCAGAAGGCTCCTCTTCACAGAGTAGAAGGAGAGAGAATGAGTGCCCAGCAAAGGGGAAGCCACTTTTAAAACTTTCAGATCTTGGCCGGGCTCAGTGGCTCACATCTGTAATCCCAACACTTTGGGAGGCCGAGGCAGGTAGATCATGAGGTCAGCAGATTGAGACCATCCTGGCTAACACAGTGAAACCCCGTCTCTACAAAAAATACAAAAAATTAGCCAGGCATGGTGGCATGCACCTGTAGTCCCAGCTACTTGGGAGGGTGAGGCAGGAGAATCGCTTCAACCCAGAAGGCAGAGGTTGCAGTGAGCCGAGATCACGCCACTGCACTCCAGTCTTGGCAACAG